CCCTGACCGAACCTCACGTACCCTGATCGAACCTCACGTACCCTGATCGAACCTCACGTACCCTGATCGAACCTCACGTACCCTGACCTCACTGTACTTGGGTGCAACGATAAGAAATCTCGTTTTGATTCTGAACCAGTTTTATGTTACAACTGAACAACGCTGAGTTATTGAGAAGGAGCTTAATAAACTTTGACTTATCCGACTGTTCCGTTTCGTTTAATGCGCCTTACGGTCCGAAAAACACGGCGACTCTTTTTACTGAAGACAGGAAGTAAAGACTGTGTAAGAGGAACAAACAAGAACGGACTCCAGCGGCTCTCCGGTGACGTTAAATGCTCCGGCGTGAACGTGCAACAGCAGGAAAACATAATGCACCAAACAACACGTGGACCTGGTACAAACCTGCGTCCTCGGGGCACAGAGCTGGCAGATGCAGTTAAATGTTATATCACAGACAAGCGCTGGTGACGAGCTGCAGGAACCAGCAGGACCATTACTGGCCCTGGACTCCGTGTTCCACCTCTTTTCCTGTCAGGATGAGCTGACGGGAGCGTTTTCCAAACAAACCAAGAAGGCCTCATTTGCAGGCCTGAGCGGAGCGCTTGGAGAGACAACGCACCCGGTCGGTGGCGACACTGAACAACAAGCAATCCTCGGGACGTAGAGGGCGACATACGAGCGGAAAACAGAGTCTTTGTTCCAACACGTGGCAGATGAACGTCATGTGAGAAAAGCTGCTACACCCAAGTTGTCAGACAGAGAACATCATTTAGCTCCAATAAAGGACTTCTGCTGGACCAAAAGCAACCAGAGACAAAAAGTACTTACTGGTAGTGGACCCAGGACGGGCCCAGGGTCTTTTTAAACTGGGTCAGGCCCACAATATCGATGTAGATGAGCTCCACAATCTTATCTCCTTGAGTGGGGCAGCTGGATTTGTTCCCCATCACTTTACGCATGATCCTGTGGAGCAAAGGTCGGAGTCAAGCAGCAGCTTCTGACCAACAGAGCCAAGATCTGAACGTGGTTTAGGTTTAGTTCAAAGTACTGGATCACGTTTACCTCCTCTTTCTTTCTGTCAACATCAAATTGATCGCCGCACCTACACAAGGCGAGGTCAGTGAACAAGGCCAGGCTGATTCTGGCAGATCCTGATCACCACTCCATGGTGAGTTCAGGTTGCTGCCCTGAGTAGGATGAACACACTCACTCATCCCTGTAGCAACGAACAGTGATGACTTCTGTGACTTCAACGTCTTCATGTCTCGTCTCGTACGGACGTTTTGTTCCTACTGACTGAAACTAATGGCTCCTTGGGGAAAATAAAGATTCTTGAACTTGAACCCCCAATTGGAAAGTTTAACATGTTTTGTGTTGTAATTCACAACAATCTTATCACTGAGATTAGAAACATCTAAAGATGATGCAGAAAAACTGGTCCATGCATTTGTCACGTCTAGACTGGACTATTGCAATGGTTTATTATCTGGGTGTCCAAATACTTCTTTAAAACGTCTTCAGTTGATCCAAAATGCTGCTGCCAGAGTCTTAACTGGAGTTACTGGGAGAGATCAGATCTCTCCAGTTTAAGCTTCTCTCCATTGGCTCCCTGTCAAATCCAGAATAGAATTCAAAATCTTACTTCTAACCTACAAAGCCCTCAACAACCTAGCTCCATCTTATATTACAGATCTTATTGTTCCATATTTTACTAACAGAGCACTTCACTCTCAGACTGCAGGTTTACTTGTGGTTCCTAGAGTTTCCAGCAGCAGAATGGGAGGAAGATCTTTCAGTTCTCAGGCTCCTCTCTGGTGGAACCAACTTCCAGTTTCTGTCCATGAGGCTGACACATTGTCCAGTTTTAAAACTGGGATTAAGACTTTCCTTTTTGATAAATCCTATAGTTAGGGTCGGCTTGGGTTTCCTGAGCTGTCCCTTAGTTCTGCTGCTATAGGTTTAGACTGCTGGAGGACAAACTGACCACACTCTTCACTCTGCTGCTGTCTTTACTTACTCTGCTCTTCCTTAGGGATGCACGATATTATCGTCATGGTAACCGTATCGACCGACACCGATTCAATATCGGACATCGACCATTCCATTAAAATAACTCGCCGATATAAAAGGCGCTGTTTTTGCCTACAGCTGCTGCGCAGCGTGATGACGTCACACCGCCTACCTCCCGGCGGAGAGGGAAATTCAAAGTGTCGGCGGTGTGGAAGTTTATTTTTGTTGAGGATGTTGGATTCCCAAGATTTATGGAGTACGTTGAGCCTCGCTGCATCGTCCCCAGTCGGAGATATTTTTCTGACGCAACGTTACTCGAGTTACCAGCCGTCATTTCTGACGTCGTTGAGAAGCTAACAGCTGATAGCACGACTTGTTGGGTGAGTTGTACCTCGGACATGTGGACGTCGTGTTAGCCCGTTAGCATGATTAGTCTCACGGAACAATGGACAGACAAAAACTTTTAAGTCTGTCCTTCATGCACACGAGTGCAGAGGATCCCACTCTGCAGCTATAAGAACCTGGAACAAGCCTCCACAGGTGCATCGCAGGTGACTAGTGCTAATAAATAACATTTAACAATTTTAATTTAATAGAAGTTAAAGAGATATGCTGTTACTGAACACCAGCTCTTACAGATGTTGCACAAATAATCCTAAATAAGATGCTATGGTCTGACTAAGGAACGCGTATAAAATATTGGTATCGGCCAAAAATCCAGTATCGAGCATCCCTTCTCTACCTGGGATTGTATGGTATATATTAATATTTGTAATTAATACAATATACAATATATTAATATTTGTAATTATTTCTGTCTTAACGTGTTTTTAGTCCTTCCTCCCACAGGAAGTTCACCTGGACCTGCCAGTCTGTGTTCGCCTCTCCTTCCTGTCTTCTCAAACCTCAGCCGCTCGTCCTGAGCCGGCTTCTGCTGGAGGTTTCTTCCTGTTTTTCCTTTCCACCGTCTCCTTTGTGCTTGCTCAGGATGGGAGACGTGATGAAGTGAAGATTCAACACGTCTGTTGCTTCTTTGGACAGATCATTTTTCATAATTGGTTTTTCTGTGTGTGAATGTTTCTGTTCAGTGTCCTGAGACGACTTCTGTTGTGACTTGGTGCTTTATGAATAAAATGAATTGAAGTAATTAAAGTGTTCACTGACTCTTTGAGCTCGGCAAGCGAAGCAGAGATTCGGACGTCATGGCCCAGGAGGTACAGCGTCGTGATGAGGTCGCTCCACTGGACCAACTCCCCCAACGGACCGCCGCTGAAGGCGTTCTCTGCGATCTTGAAGCCCGACTCCTTGGTGAGGAGGCCCAAGTGAACCAGGACCTGATGGACGGGGGAGCAGAGAACAAATTTACACACAGAAATAACTCATGATTGGAAATATGTAGATAAAGTGTTGACCAATCTTCTTTTGGACGATTTTAGCCTTTTTAAATCAAAGTACCGGCGCATATCGAATATGAGCACTGAGTCGGGAGTCAAATGTATTTTTAGACGCATCACATCGCGTACATGGAAAAGTAGCTCAGTAGCTGCTGCGCGGTGCCGTTTGTCCTAGTGGAGTTACCGTAGCTTCCTGTATAGCAACACACCATCCCAATTTATTTATTAAGCACTTAAAACAGCAACAAGGCCAACCACAGTGCTGCACAGCAAAAACAAAACAGCCAGGACATAGGACAATACATACATACATCGAGTCAAATATATAAGAACTAAATGATTAACATGACAGATTAAAGAAGTTAAAATCAACTCGCACGGTGTCAAAAGCCTGGGAACAAAAGTGTGTTTTCAAACAAGACTTAAAAACAGTGAGACACGCAGTGGTAACTCATTCCAAAGTTTTGGACCTGCAACAGAGAAGGTCCCGTCACCTCTGAGCTTCAGACGAGTGCCTGGAACCAATAAAAGCATCTGGTCTGCTCACGTTAGAGAGCACTGGGGGAGATATGGCTGCAGCAGATCAGCGAGACAGGATAGCAGTAAAGCTGTTTTCACATCTTTTCTTTCCTGAACCCTGAAGAATATACTTTAGTTAATAAAATTAAAGTTCTAACGCAGTAAAACTTCAAAGCATTTAATCTGTGTACAATGCTAATCATGTTAGCTTTAATATTTCTGACATTAAGCTAGCATCTATGCTAAGTGTTGTCAGCAGCCTGATTACTGAGACTTTTCGACATCTTGTTGTGCACTTTTTATTAGGTGTGAGAGGAAATAACTCCAGGGTTATTTCTGTAAAATCAGCCATGATCACTTGAGTTTGAAGATAATCCAAACGCATCAATGTTCGCAGTTTGATTTGTAATCAGGAGAAGCTTTAGATCTCATACTGACAATTTATTCAAATAGAAACATGAACATTTCTTTGAACAATGAGTATTTTTTAAACAACTGGTATTAATTACGCATCAATACCTGGCAGTGACAAATAAATTAATTACAAACGTATAATATAAGTAGAGGTAGATTTATCAGTCGTTCAATTTATTTGGTCTACTTTTATACTTAAACAGGAACTGATCACGTCTCGTAGTTGAAGTAGTAAATAAAGTTTTCCACTGTCTTCTAATTAGAGATGAATATTTGCTGATTAGGTTACCGTTATCGTCTGGGCTATTGGGCGCACCTGAGTATAAGCCACGCCCACTAGATAAATACATAAATTGTACATATATAGGCTGCTCTTTATAAGAAGCGGGTGTCCGTGTTGTAACATGCGCTCAAAGGGAAACAAGCAAACCTGCGTTACATGGAAACATTGTTTTCTGGCACATTCCAGAACAAAGGTGTTTCTTCTCGTACGGCAGCGCAGGATGAGCTGCGTGCGACGTGGAACAGCGGAGGCGGCTTTGCTTCAAGTGTCCGCTGCTCGTCAGAGCGCACTCCTCAAGGATTAATATCCAAAGAGATCAGCGGCTCGAACAAGGCACGCGCTTCTTTCAACACCACGCTGGAAAACAGCCAGAGCTGGAAACTATAAATAGGAGACTGAAAGCAGGACAGAAGACGGAGGAGCGCTCGTGGTGAATTCTGTGGAGAAAGAGGTCAGTGCTTTGCTTCAGCGCCGACGTATCATCGATTTACGAAGTTAACTTTTCAGAGGGCCAGCGGAGAAACTGGAGTACATAATTCAGAGCTCGGGACACAGTGAAATGTCCGTGTCACGCGTTTCCCATCCGCAGGTCTTCTTCAGGCAGAAGTGGCGCAGTCTACAAGTATGAGGAAGCACCAACCCGACGGCTTGAGGTGCAGATTAACCTTCATAATCAACCGGAGGATCATTTTTCTAAAGGTATTTATAATAATAATAACACGGCCCACCTTCTTCCTCCGCCGCTTGGTCAGGTTCTGCTTGGCAGCCAGCGAACGGATGGCGCCGACCCACGGCTCGGCCATGCGTTTGATCCTCAGCATCATCCAGCGAAACTCCTCCCGCTGCGACATCGAGCGGTAAAGCCCCTCGAAACTGGTCCGGATCTCGGCCTGCACACACAGTTCACACAACTCCTATAAACAAACAGCTGTTTGTGTCCGTTTATATTTCAGAGCTGATCCAAGTCCACATTACAACGCAACACTCGATTCAATAGGTGTCATCCAAAGGACTTCTTCTGTCCGAGGAGCCACAAACTGGAGTCCCACAAGCCATGGTGGAAAAAAACTGTTTGCTGGTGATAAGAGATTTCTGGGGCCCGCCCTCTTCTCTGTCAACCCCATCAAAGTGACGTTTCATCCTTTGGATGAGGGACGAAACGTCTCAGCAAAAAAAGAAGAAGAAGAAACCATCCAGATGACCTGACTGAACATTGTTGGATTTGGATTATTGAGCATGAACTTTGGTGTTGACACATTATAGTTCATGACTCTGCTGATATGTTTGAGACTAACTACCACGACAGAGGAGTACAGTCTGGTCTAGGGGTTGAACGAGTATATCATTTTTAAAGTCGACATCAACATAATAAAACCCGAGGGACTACTGTATATGAATGTTTCTGTTCAGTGCCCTGAGATGATTTCTGTTGTGCTGAATTGAATTTGGTCTGATACGCCAGTAAAATATCAACAGTAAATTAACCGATGCAACAAAATAGAGCCAAACATATTTTCCAGTTATTAAGCTTTGAAACTTTCTGCTTTGGGAACAGAAACATTATTCTTTTGGGACTTTGGTTAAACTAATTATTATCATTTCAGGTTTTACCATTTATTAAAACTGTAAAAGCTTTGAATTTTTTAAGCAAAGTGCACTTGCCCCTCGGATCCTAAAACGATTAAATTTGGGGGCTCGTCCGGGATTCAAAGATTCAACTAAAACATTCAGTGTCCCATCTTACTGCCTTAAGTACATAGAAAGAAATGCAGTTCTGGACTCAGATGGATCAAGAAATGAATGAAACAATGCTTTCCTGACTCGAGCCTGTCCATTCCTGTTTCTGTTTGTGCAACCCAAGCCGATACGTTGAGATGAAACCATCTAATAAAGTCGGTTTTAAATCTCAGAAACCTTTACAGAAGAAAATAAAGAGCACTGAAGCTTATTAGTAGTGACAGACAACAAATAAAGCAAATTAGTGATTTGGTTGTTAAAGAAGGGAGCGGAAACTTCAATAAGATGCTTTAAAAGAAAACGTTCTACATAAATTAGGACAAAACAGGAAAAGAAAAGATTTTTCAGGATGTATTTGAGGCCACAGGACAGGCTTCGTCGTATCCGAGCGTTGATGCAAACAAAGCAGACTACAAATTAGACGCTTCTGTTCGAGGAGTGTTGACAAACGAACAGGCTTGAAATGTGGAAATGAAACTCCGAGTTCGCCGCCGTTCAGAGCCACAGAATGGATTCCACACACGGTAAAACATGACAGCTGAAGGAAAAGCCTGGAGGGACGGGAAACGGTGATATCAGACGGAGCCAACGAGGGGAAGATGGAGGGAGGAAAGCAGAAACCACGGAGCCATTACCAGTGGCTAAGGTGGCTGAAACAAGGCTGTTGCGGCGCATTAACATCCTTCATTGCGACAGGAAATCACTGGCGCAGACGGAGCCAATTAAAATCTGGGCCTGAATTAAAATCTGCTGCAGAGAGCTCCAGTTGTTGGATCCGTCCAGAAAGAGAGATGAAGAGTGCTTAATATTGATTCATTCTCAGGCGAGGGAAGAGATGGGGGGGGGGGTACTGGAGATCTGAAGATGAGCTCGGTCTGTTTGCTCGCAGGCTGCTTTAAAACATAACGAGATGTAAAAGACACCGAAAACCAGAAGACAAAGGAAACCGGCACGAAGAGTGATTTGTGTTTATTTTACTTTCATTATTGCAAGTTAACCTCGTTTTCAGCAGCACGTTTAATTTACAAGTAGCTCTTTTTGTTACATCCATTTAATGCTAAATAATAATTATGTGTATTTTCTATGTTGCCTTATTCATTCATTCAACCTTTACTTCTACAGGTTAGTGTCACTGAGCCTCGAGGACTCACTCACAAGAGAGACCCGTTTTAGACAAAGAGCACAGATGAGGTTCAAACAACAACAATCATAAAATGCAAATGAAATTAAATGTAAACAGAAGAAATGATACAAAGGCAAAACAAAAAAACAGCTTCATTGTAAAGCGGTATAAAATACTAAAAACAGGAACACGTCTGCGTTGGTTCTTCCAGGAACTTATCAGATGTTTGAAGCCACTTAGAGAGGTCAAAGGTCGAGAGCTTCAGATGTTTTTACAAGATGTTCCAGGAAACAGGAGCGGAGTAGGAGAAGGTCCTTTTGTCTAGTTCAGTCCTCACTGAGGGAACACTGCAGGTAATGATGTCCTGAGAGCGCACGCTGTAGCTGCACTCACACAGAGACATGTAGGAGGAGATGTATGAAGGCAGCAGACCAGGAAGTGATTTAAAGATGAAAATGTACCAGTGAGAGAGTCTGTGTGAAGTTAATGGTGACCAGTTAACCAGTGAATACTGGGTGCAGTGGTGGGTACAACAATCACAGCCAGTTCTGAATCTTAGTGCACCATGATAGACAGCATCCAACATCTGCAGCATCCAACATCTGCAGCATCCAACATCTGCAGCATCCAACATCTGCAGGGTTCTTGTAGGAGCGTTCATGTAAATAATGTCACCGTAATCAATGGAGGGAAGGAAAGTCACAGATACAAGGTGTTTCCTAACATTCAGGGTTAGACAGGATCTGTTTCTGAAAAAGAAACCCAGTTTAACTTTCAGTTTCTTCAACAAGTTCTAAGTGGAAGAAGTACCATTATGTTGAATACGTTGCCTCTGATCTGACCTAAATTACTTATGTAGATTGTGAAGGGGATGGGTCCCAAGACTGAACCTTGTGGTACACCATTGCTAACAGTTAAATAGCTGAAAGAAGTACCATTATGTTGAACACGTTGCCTCTGATCTGACCTACATTACTTATTCAATTCAGTTTATGTATTTAGCACCAAATCACAACAAAGTTGTCTCAGGCACTTTACAGGAACATTCACATACATAGAAAAAGCATTTAGTAAAGTTCTCCATCTAAGGAGGCCAGCAGACATGTTGAATCTTCACTTTGTTGCAATCTCCCATCCCTCATGTAGATTGTGAAGGGAGTGGGTCCTAAGACTGAACCTTGTGGTACACCATTGTTAACAGTTAGCTGGAAGAAGTACCATTATGTTGAACAAGTTGCCTCCGACTTGAGAATAGCTTATAACTAATAGCTCCTACATTTATTAGTCGAGTTCACGCGAGTGTCTAGAATGTTTTGATTTTAGATTTTTCTGCTCAGATTGGATTATTTTGCGTGCTCGCTCATATTCATTCATTCGATGAGATTAGATTAAAAGATTAAAAATGCAGCTCCGTACGATACGTAGGCAATACACATTCAAAAATAACTTAAAACCATATGACCAAAGGTACGGAGATGTCCTCCGTCGCTCAAACGATCCAAAGTTACAGTAATGCAAAGAGAGCTTAAAAAAAGAACACGCCATCGGTAAGACGCTCGTAATAAAAACAATAATTTGTTGTTCAAGTTCGGGTGTTTTTATACATCAACCATCATTTAGTAGGTTGAAAATCTGTAGTGGATTAAACATGACTTGGGGAATTGTGTGTGTTTGTACCGGTGGATAGTTTACAGTAAAAGTTAATAATCTAAGGTGCATCTAAGATAAGTCAGGTCCTCTGGACAAATTAAAAAATTTAAAGAATAAAAATTAAATAAAAGATTCAAAACTTGTTGAAATGTTTAGTGTTTAATTCAGAAGACTTAAAAATATTACAAATATGTAATATTGGATAATTTTCCTCAATAAATAAATGACCGTGTATAATATTTGTCTACTTGTTTAACTTTGTGTACTTTTAGGACGTGTGTGAAAATCTGATGATGTTTTCTGTCTATTTATGCAGAAATATAGAAAATGATCAAGTGTTCACAAACATTCGAGCACCACCGTGTGAACAAAAAACACGTTTCACGACAAGTACTGTCGATAAAATATTCAGTATCGTAATATATTCAACCTTTATTTAAACAGATAAATCACTTTCTAGAGAATATTTGTTCTTTTATTATGGGGATGCACGATATGGATTTTTGGCTGATATCCGATATGTTAAAGCTTCTTTGGCCGATAATCGATACCAATACCGATATTTTCCCACTAGACCTCCTTCCAGAGACTAGATCTCTCTCTGCTGTGGAATTAAATATAATATTCATCTTGGTCTTCGTCAGTTCGGCTGCTGCCAGATGCAGAAGACAAACGGAGCTGAAAACACTTTAACGTGGATTATGTTTAATGTTAATTATATTCACAACATTTGCTCTAACACACTGACGACACTAGAACAGTGCAGATTTGTACATTTTCACAAATCTAAACTCCACCTGTTCACAAGCAACAAGTGCAGAAGTATTAGTGCATTAATAGATATACTTGATAATTTCCCATTTAAAAATTAACTTAAAACAGAAACATTTTATATCAATGAGGTTTTTTTATGGAATGGCCGATGTCTGATATTTAACTTTATCTCTAATATATCGGCCGATACCGATACCATGCCGATAATATCGTGCATCTCTATTTTATCAGTTTACTGACGGCTCTTAAGAGCTCATCCAGTTTGGAGCGACTGGTTTTAATTCAAGCGAGGTCGTAACGTCCACTTTTCCTCAAACGAAGCTCTTGAACTTAGCTATTGATTCAGACGGTTTTTAACGTTATCAAAGAAAAACAGGAACCTGTTCCCTGTTCTTAAACAGGTGAACTGAACCAGCTCTACACAAAGTGCAAGGCTTTAAGCAAATATCACATTTAATCCCATAAAGCCCAACGTGGACTGTAAGAAGATTCAAGAAAAATAAACGATTGATCTGAAGCAGGAGCCAGAAGCTGCTTTAATTAAAACATCTTGTGATGAGACACCGCTCAGAAAGGCGTGTCTTTAAGGAGAAGGAAACGAGGACATTCCAGCTCTGGGTGTGTCTTTCTGCTGCTCACCTGTCCACTCAGGTCCTTCTCATCGTTCAGGAGCTTCATCCTCCAGGGCAGGCGGGGACACCAGTTCTCCACCTTGGGAGGAAGCAGACAGTGACAAAGAGCTCATCTTTTATCGGTTTGACAAAAAACAGAAAAGCTTCTTGGATCAGGTCAAAACGCAGCTGGTTTCATCTCATCACAGAAGACATCAAGTCCTTCTCAAAGATAGAGAGACGGACGGACGGACAGACAGGTGGGTAGGTAGGTATGGTGGTGGCCATCTTGGATTTTTGATGTGGAAACTTTATTTTTTACAGGGAACTTGTGTCGACTCCTAAATGCAGCCACTCACCCAAATGGAAGTCTGCACGTTGCTCATCTGTCAAGTCATCCAACTCACGATGTTTACATGTATACATACATGGCGTCGGCCATGTTGGATTTCGTGTCAACCCAATTTTCAAAGGACCTTTTCTAACGTCTACATCAGAAGTGTCAAACTCGAGGGCTGAAAGCTGGAGACTCGTTTCAAACCAAGAGTCACTTTGTGGCATCAACTCCAGTTGGATCCCCGACATCTTTTCTTGCTTCAACGTTCACTGACAACAGCTTCATCGGTCGCTCTTACAGCATCAACATCAGATTACGGAAACAAACCAAATAAATATGGGTTCAACGTTGATGACTGTCACAGGAGTCTGCACTAAATAAAGTATGCACAGACTTCTTACGTATAATGAGAAGCGATAAAATGTTTTAATTTTAAAATATCATCTTGGGGCCAGACATGATGTTTACGAGGGCCGTATTTGGCCCTCGGGCCTCAAGTTTGACATGTGTGGTCTGCATGCAGCCACACAATAAGTGGAAGAGTTTATGTCATCAAGTTGTCGTGCTCACAACACAGACGGACGGATGGACGGATGGAGTGCATCGTATCTTGGCTCCACGACGGGGGACAACGAAAACCTCTTCAGACGCACCATCTCCCTAAATCGATCCTTTCATCACTAAAACTTCTGCGTGTTCTGGCAACGGGCTCGACACCAACACTCTTTTCTCCCGGTCCCATTGCCGTCTCTTTGGTGAGTGGCGACCTGGCAGAGTTTCGACCTGGCAGAGTTTCGACCTGGCAGTTTCGCCCTGGCAGAGTGAGTTTCGCCCTGGCAGAGTTTCGCCCTGGCAGAGTTTCACCCTGGCAGAGTTTCGACCTGGCAGAGTTTCGACCAGGCAGAGTTTCGACCTGGCAGAGTTTCGACCTGGCAGAGTTTCGACCTGGCAGTTTCGCCCTGGCAGAGTTTCGCCCTGGCAGAGTTTCGCCCTGGCAGAGTTTC